TGCTGCTGCTGCTGCTGCTGCTGCTGCTGCTGCTGCTGCTGCTGCTGCTGCTGCTGCTGCATCATTTCTCATTTCTCAGCGAACTGCCCTGCTGCTGCTGCTGCACCACTTCTCAGTGAACTGCCCTGCTGCTGCTGCTGCTGCTGCTGCATCTGGCTTGGAGCGAACTCTGCTGCTGCTGCTGCTGCTGCTGCTGCTGCTGCAGGGTGCCCGAACTCGCGGGCAATGACGCTGGTGGTGTACGGGGCGACGCAAATGGCAGCAGCAGAAGCCGAGAGAGCAGCACACGACGCGCTGTGTGTTGCTGCTTGTTTGCTGCGGGAGGGGCGGGTGGTTTGCGGGGGGGGAGCAGCAGAAGCAGCAGCAGCAGCAGCAGTGGAAGCAGCAGCAGCAGCAGCGCTGCCTGCGGCCTCGCAGCTGCCTGCTGCGGCCTTCGCCCAGGCCCTCCTCGCCCTCCCAGAAACCCTAGCAGCAAACTCCGGCCTCAGTGCAGCAGCAGCAGCACAAACCCTCAAAACCCTGCAGCAGCAGCAAAACTGCCCCTACCTCGGCATCGACTGCATGCAGCGCGTCAGTTAGGGTTTGCACGAGGGTTTGGGGAGGGTTTAGATAAGGGTTTGGAGGAGGGTTTAGAAAAGGGTTTAGAAAAGGGTTTGGAGGAGGGTTTAGAGGAGGGTTTGGAGGGGGGTTTAGAGGGGGGTTTGGAGGAGGGTTTGGAGGAGGGTTTGGAGGAGGGTTTAGAGGGGGGTTTGGAGGAGGGTTTGGAGGAGGGTTTAGAAAAGGGTTTGGAGGAGGGTTTGGAAAAGGGTTTAGAGGAGGGTTTAGATAAGGGTTTGAGGAGGGTTTAGAAAAGGGTTTAGGGAGGGTTTGGGATAAGGGTTTAGGGAGGGTTTGGGGTTTAGGGGCTCCTTTGGAGTCTAAAAAGGGTTTAAAAGGGCTTTAAAGGGGGTTTAAAGAACTCCGAAAAGGGTTTTAAAGAACCCCGAAAAAGGGTTTAAAGGGCCCCTAAAAAGGGTCTAAAGAACCCCGAAAAAGGGTTTAAAGGACCCCTGAAGAAAGGGTTTAAAGGGGCCCTAAAGGGCTTAGAGGGGGCCCCTGGGGGCCCCCTCTAAACCCTTAGCAAGGGTTTAGAGTTGGGTTTATTTGAAGGGTTTGTTGCTAGAGGGTTTAGGGTTAGGGTTTACTTCGAGGGTTTATAGGGAGTGACTAGCGAGAGGGTTTGGAAAAATAGGGTTTAGGGTTTAGGGTTTAGGGTTTGCGCACAGGGCACAAACGACATGAGGGAGCAGGAAGTGTGGGAGCCTCTCGCCTCAAAGAGGCAGCAGATACTGCTGGCCACCCAGGTAAACCCTAAACCCTAAACCCTAAACCCTAGAACCTAAACCCTCGAGCTGCTGGGAGCCACAAAGCCCTGGAGCCTGCCTTGCGCGCGTCCGGAGCCAATCTGGCGAGGGTTTGGGGTTTAGGGTTTGTAGGTGCTGACCGAGCGAGGGTTTAGGGTTTGGGAAGCGAGGGTTTAGGGTTTGGGAAGCTAGGGTTTAGGGTTTAGGGTTTGGGGTTTACGACTTGCAGGTCGTCAAAATGATCCTCAAGATCGACGACGTCATCTGCGCCAATGAGGAGTAAAGGAATTTGCTGCTGCTGCAGCAACGACTGCAGCAGCAGCAGCTGCTGCTCCTGCTGCAGTTGCGGCAGCAGCAGCTGCTTCTGCTGCAGTTGCGGCAGCAGCAGCTGCTGCTGCTTCTGCTGCAGTTGCAGCAGCAGCCGCCAGAACAGCAGCAGCAGGGGCTGCTGCCGGCTTTGATTGGTGGTGCGTGTGGAGCGGTGTTTCAGAAGCCGTGAACCCAAGACCCTAAACCCTAAATTAGGGTTTGCGGAACCCTATTTCTTTTGGCCTAAACGCTAGCGTACGCAGAGCTGCAGCAGCTGCAGCAGCTGCAGCAGCAGCAGCAGCAAAAGGGAGTTCAAAAGGCCCGAGTTTGTTAAGCTAAAATGGAGACAAATAAATAAAAAATTGCAAGAAGAAACAACAAATAAGAACAAGTTTTCAAGAAAGAAATAAAGAAGAATAAACAAATAAACAATAAATAAATAAATAACAATAAATAAACAACAAAAGAGCGAATAAACAATAAAGAAATAGAAGAGAAGTGCACGAAAAGTTTGAGAAGCGCGAGTTCGGGGGTTTAGGGTTTGCGGGGCTGCAAACCCTAAACCCTAAACCCTAAACCCTAAACCCTAGTCAGTCGTGGTTGTGGGCCCTGCCGCTGCTGCTGCTGTGCACGAAGTTGTGGAGGGCGTTTCTGGGGTCGGCTCTGCCTTCACTTGCTGCTGCTGCTGCTGCTGCTGCTGCTGCTGCTGCTGCTTCTCTGTGGGGTTCGGGGTACTGTGCGCCGTTGCTGCGGTGGCGGGCCTCGCGGGATCGCTCCCTGTGTCTGTGGGGCGATCGATCCCGCTCCCGGGATCGATCCCGGGATCGGGATCGGCCTCGCTCCCTCGATCGCTCGCGCGAGCGTCGCTCGCGCTCCCGATCCCGGGATCGCCGCTCCCGATCCCGGGATCGGTAGCTGGAGTAGCGGGATCGATCCCGCTCCCCGCTGCGGATCCGATCCCTGCTGCTGCGCTCCCTCCTCCCCCCATGTTCGCCAAACCCGCCAGCAGCAGCAGCAGCAGCAGCAGCAGCA